GTCCCCTAAGTGGAACGCTGTCTTGCTGCGCATCCTCACACAATTTAAATCAGCTCTAGCTCACTTATAATACCTAATACAATGTAAATGCTATGTAAGTAGTTATGTTTAGGGAATACTCACAAGAAAGCAGTCTATACATGTTATTCGTATTACTCAGCTTCCATGTCACTAGGACACAATACCCAACACCCACAACTTAAAGGAGGAGAGGTTTAACTTGGCTCACATTTTAAATGGATTCAGTACATGGTAAGACAGCCCTAAGGCAGAAACAGCACGGCAGAAAGTGGCTGGGAAGCGGAGCAGGGGAACATGTCAGAGAGGAAGGATCGAGTCACCAGACATAGACCTCGAGGTAATAGCTCCATGACCCACCCAGACACACCAGAAGTGTGTTCTAATTATCTCCTGGGTAGATCCCAAGCCGGTCAAATTGACAGTCTAGATTATCCTTTCCAGTACAGCAGCAATATTTTTCCTAATATTTTCCACCTGAGACTGCTCAAATCCACAATGTACATCCCAGACATGGAGGGCCAACTGCCTACCTACAACTCCTAACGTTATCCTTGAGCAAGGCTGGACTTAGGGCTATGCCGCTGAGAAGAAAGGGCTGAGTGCTTGCGTTCCAGTAAGGAGAATCCCTAAGCTGAGGGGAGCAGAAGAAGTCAGAGTCTCTGGAAGGCGGAATCCAGAGTCCCTGCTGGATTTTTGAATTGTGTCATGATGTATATTTTAATGGAGATGCAAGTTCAGGAGTTCAGGGGGACAAATGTCAAGTCCCAGAGAAACACCAACATTCAGAAATAAAAAGGACAGTTGTAAAGGATAACTCTCACTTTGCACAGAGAGAACAATTAACATATTCACTTCCCTTCAGCTTCTAGGATGCTTGTGAAGCATGCATGGGTGTGTGCAGCACAGGGCAGCGCTGCAGTAAGTCTCCCGGGGCCCAGCATGGTGACTGGGAGCCCTGTAGAGTCAGTGGCTGGAGTCCTGGTGAGCAACGCCTGCTAGGAGCACGACATTTCTCTGAGCCTTTGTGTTCTATCCTAAATAGTCACACTAACTTTTCTTTCTGTTCAGTACACATCAGAGTCTGTTTTTTTTTTTTTTTTCAGAGTCTGTTTTAATAGACTGTAAAATATTTTTTCTCTAAAACCTTGAATAAAACTGGTACTCCAAATGGATGTTTACATTGCAGCTTTGAATACCCCTGAAAGCAGAGGACCGGCACCTGCATGTAGTCAGCACAGCAGTAGGGCTGCCACACAGAACCAGGTGAGATGCCTTCCCTAGCATCCTCTGGGATAGCTCTATGAGTCACCAACTGAAATGCCAGGGAGGGAACATTGTTGTGGTTTAAAGCTTGGCTCTTGGGATAGACGGTTTGCCTTCAAATCTTCACTTCACCACATGAACTACATGACTTTAGGCAAGTGGTAATGCTGTCTGTTCCTCAGTCTCTCCATCCGTAAAATGGATCTAATAACAGCACCTGCCTCACTACATTGCAAGGCTTGAATGAATGAATGTTTAGAAAACATAGAAAGGTTCACCATTCCTGGCCTTACCTTGACCAATCTATGGTAGTCTCCTTTCCCCAAAAAATCATGCTTTATTTTCACAGTATCTATCACTATCTAAAACCACCTTCCTTTATTTTTAAACTTTAAACAACTGAGAAGTTTAATGACAGGAAACAGGTTGAAATTACACTTATGTGTAGACTGCTAAATGGCCGTCAAACAATTTAGCATCAAAACAAATTTCTATTTTTCCCCAAACATTGTCAAGATTAAAAATGAAGTTATCAAAAAGCATGTATAGAAGACTATAATTTTATATTTCCTTTACATATATAGTTGGGGGTTTTATTTATAATGCTTATAGAGGTAAAAGGGGACTTTAATGTTTTGGTTTGCATTTCTACTTTCCAAATTTCCCATAGTGAATCTGTATTGTCTTCATAACTATAGGGGAAATATCATTTAGTATAATATATGGGATATGAGGGTGAGAGGAAAGAGAGGGTAGCTACCTACTCTCGGTGGGTACCACCACTGAAAGTCTGCTGAAAATCCAGACCCCATCCGATGCCTGTGACCCCCAGCACTCACAGAGGTGTCAGGGAATTCTCTCCCAAATGCGGGGCTACCTCTCAGCCCCAATGGCTCTGCAGCCATGTCTCGCACTTGTATAATCAATCTTTTGTTGTACATTACTTGCCTACTGTTATAAGAAATGTTTTGTTTTCCTGGTTGGACTCTAACTGATACTATTCTCGACCCATCATTCTTTCCTAGCAATCTATCACAGAGAAGGTGACATTAAGGTCTCAGTGAAAAGGATTGTTCTCTGTTAAATTGTCATTTGGAAAAAGGTTAGAAGAAAACAAATGTTAGAAGAAAACTTAATGTCCACAGTAAGTGCTGTGGGTTGAATTTTGCATTCTGAAAGAATACATTCAACTCCTAATCCCTGGTACCTGTGGATGTGCCTTTACTTGAGATAGGGTCTTTACAGATGTGATCAAGCTTAAATGAAGTCCTACTGAATTCAAGTGACTTAATCCAGTGACCAGGGTCTTAATAGCAAGAAGGAAATAAGGGTGCAGACTCATAACAAGAAGGCCCTGTGACAGGAGAGGCAGAGATTGGAGTGCTGCAGTTGCAAGCCAAGGGCTGCTGGCAGGAGCTAGAAGACGCAAGGAAGCCATCTTCCTTAGGGTCTTCAGCAGGAACGTGAGCCTGCCAACACCTGGATTTCAGGCTTTTAGCCTCTAGGGCTACGAGGAAAGCAACTTGTGCCGTTCTAAGCCAAGTTGGATTCACTTGTTTAGGCAGCCCTGGGAAACCAATATAGGAAGCCATATAGAATATGCATATATTCTAAATAACGACATAACACTTAATGAGAGAACTCATTTAGAATGTAGGTTCCTCTGCCCTGCTGTCATTATTCTGAGGCAGTAAATCTGGCTCGGCAGCCAGTCACGTATCCCAGCAATCATCAAGTGGTAGGCTTCTTAGCCACCTGCAGCTGGAGTCGGTCACATTGGGCCTTAATCTTATAGTTTAAATGATTTAAGGAGAAGGAAAGAAGCTACTTTGCTTGGTTTGCACTCTCAATTTCTTTCAGACTTCAGTGGAGCCTTAATTTTCAGCTAATTGAGCTGTCAATCTTACTTAGAAGGAATTGGTTTCCTTCAGAGCTGGGAAGGTATCACTGAAGCATGAAGAGGTATTTGCCAGCTTTCTCACTTAGATGAAGCTCTTCTAGTCCTAAATTACAGAAACCAAACAGCTAACTTAGACAGGAAGGAAAGAAGGAAGGAAGGAAGGAAGGAAGGAAGGAAGGAAGGAAGGAAGGAAGGAAGGAAGGAAAGAAAGAAGGAGGGAGGGAGGGGGTAGAAGGAGGGAAGGAGGGAAGGAGGGAGGGAGGGAGGGAGAGAGGGAACTGAAGAGCCAGCCCAGGTATGTGTGGACCCAGGGCAGACCCAACCATCAGCACTGGCAACAGGTTCAAGTCACTATCTTCACTGAGGAGCTTGGACTCCTGATGTCTGTGTCTTGCATTCAAATTTCCGGACTCCTCCAAGACAAGCTTGACTGTTTCCATTCAGGTCAGGGGTCCCTGGACCATGAAGCTATGGCCAAGAAAGAAGAGGGGCTCATGAGTCAGATGTGGCAGGTGGGGGCCCCTCCTTGTGCATGGGGCCAGTTCTTGGAGAGGGGGCAATGAGAGGGTGGCCACTGCCCCCCTCCGAGGCCTCTTCTCTCCTGACTCCCTTCCATAATTCCCAGCCCTAAGTTACTGCTCTGAGAACAGACTTCCTGCTTTCCCTCCAAATTTCATTTCTACCTCCCCTCCGTGTCTTTCCCACACCATCTGAGATCAGTCCATTTCTGAAAAGCTTCCCGCCTGTCCTTTCCCTGCAGGTCGTGCCCATGTGGAATTTGGATTCTTGTTCATCTTACGCAGGCATGCACTTCTGTGAAGTTCTTTTTCGGAGGGAACTTTTAGAAGAGGAAAGAAATATAGCGCCCCTTTAGGAACCATGAGAACACACAGCCTTTTGCACAGTGACACCAGGAAATAAGAGCCAGTAAGTTCTGGTTTGAGTTATCTTTCTAGTGTGATGCTGGGTCATACTGAATCATTCAGACTAGCTTCAGACCTTGTAACCAGTATCATAGACTGGGGAGAACTGACTGTTTGGAGGGTACAGTCTATAGCTAACCACAAAACGGGGTTGTGAAGACTGGCTGCCTAGAGTAGCAAAAGAAAAGTTCATATAAGCTCCTAGTGGACTCCATGCCCTAAATCACTGACTGCAAAACTTTTAGAGACCACATGCCCGAACTGCAACCCAAAGCTCACTTATTTATAGCAAAGTGCTAACACTGCAGTTAAACCCGAATACTGACTTTTTAGTTCAGGAAAAAAATACTGTTATGTGATGCCCAGCTGCTGGGACAACCTGGCTCATGTGCTGACAGAGAGGGCTCTGCGTGCCTGCTGCGACATACGTGCCATAGGTTCACCAGCACTGCCCTAAATGGGATGAGTTACCAGCTTCAAAGAATGTAAGCACTTCCCTTGTGTACTTTTATTTTTTATTCTTTCACCACAGAAACTACCTTAGCTATCACATCATCTAACATTAACTATAATGAAAACGCCGGCTCTTAAGAGTCACAGGAAGGTGCCACATAACTTAGAAATGTCACTCTCTGAATGGATGGAAGTGCTCAGCTTACGTGTACTGCAGGGCAGTGTTGTAACTTCCCTGTGACTGTCTGCTCTTCAGTGAGGTGGCCTCACAGTAATCCCTCCATCAGGGGAGAGTGGGGAGGATCGAAGTAAGTTTTAAAAATATGACAGTGTTCTGTTCTGTGATGAGTGCTCAAAAACTGTTAGTTCTTATGACATTTTCTGATCCCCAAGGATAAAGTTTGAAACACTCTCTCTCTATAGAAGAGCCGCTCCCTTACCCTGAGCTTTCTCCACCACTGGGGCAGACACGGGGGAGCCCCTTCCCATGTATCTCTAGCACCCATGGAGCCGCCATGGTGCTTTTTAGTGGTGATGCTGGGGGTGTCTGGGGGTTGCTAGAAAGCCAGGCTGTGTCACTAGGATGGAGATGTAATAAAGAACACTGTGATCCCGAGGTTCCACAGCCTGTGTAAAAAGTGGGTGGTCTCTGGAAAAATCATCTGGATGGTGGAGGGCGAGGATGGAAGGGAAACTTTTCATGTTTGCACTTTCAAATCCCTTCATTTTTTTTTCAGTGTTTACTTTTTATTAGTACAGATTTGCATGACACAATGACTACATTCCTTAAGGAGAGCTATAACATACACCCAACACATCCCAATTCTTTTTTAATTCCCTCTCCATCTTTGATCCATTTCTCACTGGAGAAAGATCTACCTCCCTATTTCCTATTATCTATCTTTTTATTTTGCTCTTCATTTATATTTGGGTTCCTCATATAAGAGAAACCCTGTGATATTTAAGCATGTGTATCTGATTTATTTCACTTAATATTATGATTTCAAGGTACATCCATTTTCCTACAAATAACTCAAGTTCCTTCTTTATGGCTGAATAGTACTCCGTGGTGCATAAACACCACATTTTCTTTATCCATTCATCTGTTGATGGATATGTAGGTTGCTTCCAAGATTTAGTTACTGTGAATTATGCTGCTATAAACATGGGCATGCACATATCACTGGAGTATGATGATATCTTTAGATCTTCTTGGGATAATACTTAAAAGGAGAATAGCTGGGTTAAATGGAACTTCCAGTTTTAACTTTTTGAGGAATCTGTACACTGATTTCCACAGTAGTTGTATTAGTCTACTTTCCCACCAATAATGTAATAAAGTTTCTTTTTCCCCTACAGCCCCACCAGCACTTGTTATTTGACTTCTTGATAACAGCATCCTTTCTGCAGTAAGATGGAATCTCGGTGTTGTTTAAATTTTCATTTCTCTAATGACCAGATGTGTTGAATACTTTTTCATACGGCCATTTGTATTTTTTCTTCTGAGAAGCATCTATTCATTTCAGCTGCCCATTTATATATTTCTTTCCTCTTCTAAAAGTCTTAACTCCCCTTATGATCATTTAGGAAGGATCTCTATCTCATCAATAAATTAATTCTAGAAGAGGAGAAAGAACTTGGGCTTTGGAGGTAGTAAAGTAAGATCCACAGACAGAATCTGTCATTTATTATCTGTGTGACACTAAACAAAAGGATTAAAATTCTCCCAGGCTCAATTTCCAATGTCCTTGTCTGTAAGGCGGAAACACCCATTCCTACCTCACATAATTAAATAATGCAATGTGTGTGAAAGGCATAGACCATATTAGATTCATTAAATGGCAGTTTCTTTAATGTGACTAACTTTTCTGATGTGTATCCGGCAGTGCTATGTCCCCCAAACTTCATGTGTAGGGAACTCAAGCCCCAAAGTCAGATGTCAGTGTTATTTGAGAAGTGGACCTGTTGCAGAGTCCTGGCCTTAGCCCATGCATGGCTTAGTAGGTTTGGGAGGGAGTCCCGCTGTGAGAATCCTTGTGCTGTCTTGGGCCTCTGCAGTAGGGAGGTCATCACCAGATGTGGCCTTCCCATCCTCCAGATTTGTAAGAAATAAATTTCTTTGCTTTTTAAGCTACTCAATTTCAGGCTGGTCATCACTCAAATGTTAACTCATGTACGACTGCCCAGGATGAGAGCAATGACTTCTATATGTACAACTCTTGCCATTTGCAAAGTAAATTGATGCACATTTTCTTTTGAAGGAGACCTAAGAATAAGCATTTTTAACAAACGTCCCAGATATTTTCCTGTGTACCAAAGTTTGAAAGAACTAATATCTCATTAATCCTCAAAGCTTGAAAAATGTCATTAGTAATCAGATTTGCAGATGAGAAACTAAGACTTAAGAGGTCAAGAAATCTGCCACAATACCAGAGCAAGGTCCTACACCCCCAACGTGTGAGTTCGGCTCTTCAGCATGAAGACGGAAATCTTTAATGGTGGTATTTTAGGCATCCAAGACAGAAAAGTGGAACAGATATTTTTTGCCTATAAGTCTATTCTTGGCACACCTGATGCCTAGTGGGTGATTTGTATAGGAATTTAGAAGGCATTTGATATCATCTGATTATGTAGCTCTTGTACAGTTAATTTCAGAAAGGACGCATCAGATCTAGGTGCCTTGGGACCTTTCAACACTGAGTGGCTGACCAGCTGCCAATTGGCTTTCTAGAATGGAATATTTAGTGATCTTGCTGACAAAAAAGTTTCCCCCTTTCCTTTCTCTCTTGTATAGTTTGAGCCTTAATAAGGGAAGGATGCAGTTGCTGGGAAACAAGGTTCTAGAAAAATCTTAGACCAGAAAAGGACAAATCTTGGCTTGAACCTTTACAAGTGAGGATGGCCATTAGCCAACATACTACCAGGTGGGTTATTTATACTACAAAAGGAAATAACTTTCCTTGTAAGCTACCTCTTCTCAGCTCCTGCCTAATCCCAAATACTGTTCCATAAACAACAAGCTGGGTTTGAAATTAACATAACAAAAATGTAATGGAAACCTACATAGCTTCCTACTATAAATGCAATGCCCTGTGCAGTTATTTCAGAGGTTCACTGTTTAAATGGTGAGTTAGTTACTTTTCTCTCATTGCTGAGATAAAATACCAAATGCCCAAAGTTACAACAGGGAGGGTTCATTTAGCTCACAGATTGTAGAGGTTTTAGTCCATAATCAGTTGGCTCAAAGTCAGAGGGGCACATGGCAGAGGGGTAACAGTTCATGGTGGTGGAAGACAGCAAAAGCAACAAAGGAGGAGAGAGGACATGCCTCTTTCTTTCCCTTATGTTGTATGCAGGCTACCTGCTCTAAGACAGGTATAGCACTCACACTCTTAATTCCAGCATGCTTAATCCCAGCATTGCACTATGAATCAATCACACACCTGAGATTCAGCCATCTCCAAACAAACTCTATGACTGCATGAGGATTTGGGGGAACATCTAGACACAAATCATAAAAAATGTGCATTTTAAATCAAGACTGGCTTGATTTCTGTCTCTGACCTTCTCATCTTAGAACCTCATTTGCTTCTTGAAAACTTATCCTAAGGGCTGGGGATTTAGCTCAGCAGCAAAAGCGCCTGCCTGGCAAGTTGCAAGGTTGTGAGTCTGGTTCCCGGTACAGGAGAAAAACAAAACAAAACAAACAAACAAAAAAAAGAAAACTTCTCCTAAGTACATGTGTAAGGAATGGTTTTCAGGCTCTTGTGGAGAATTTTTTTGTATTAATTTTTTTGAGTCAAAGCAGCTTGAAAGAGAAACATCTATGGATAGGGGCGCTGAAGCTAGACGAGGAAGAAATTAATCCCCAAGTTGATACACAGAGTTCAACAACAGGAAGTGAAGTTCTTGTACTTAAAGACAGTTGGGTTGAGGTTGTAGCAGCAAAATCATACAAGCTAAAATTTCCCCATGAGTTTTGGGAAGCAAATCCCACTTCTTATCAAATAAATGGAGCTTATTTCTTTCTAATTATGACGAAAGGCAGAACATGATTTTCCTTGGTGTTGGTATGCCAGAGATTCACAGACATCCCCCTTCACAGACTGTAACATCTGAACTCGGAAATTAGAAGGGTGTGTATGGAGAAGAGCTTCAATAGGTTTAACTACACCAGACTGTGAAATGCATCAGGCTCAAAGCCACTTTTTGCCTTCTCTTTGCAGGGCAGAATGAACCTAGATTAAGTGGGAAGTGTTGGACTCGGAGAAGTCAGTGACAATGAAATAGGCCATTTTTACATCATGGACGTGGCCAATTTGTGGGGTTGATAGACTACAATTAAGTCAAATCAGAAACATTAAAGCCAATTTCAGAACTCTAGCTGAAGACCCAGAGCAAGAGTTTATGAGTTAGATGAATAGCTGCTAGGAATTTTCTTAATATCAAATATACATGCATCACGAGCCATTATTTATTTTATGTTATTGATTTTCACAGTTGAGAGTGAACATTTTTAGGACAAATACTGACCAGCTTTGTCTTTAATATCCAAAGTAGAACTTGTCTCCTAAATATGGACAAAACCAATATCTTGAGCCACCTCTGAAACTGTATTTCTTAGTCAACAGGAAAACACCAGCCATTAAAATTCTCAGCCAGGAATCCAAGACAAGAAATGAGTCAGGGGCCTTCTCTATTGGTTTCAGTGCGATTTTAAGTACTATACCTATACTAATTTGCACTATAGAATTCTTAATCTCTAGCCCAAAGCAAATCAGATGCACGCCAATTTAATAAAAAAGACAAAACAAGAAGACTAGATGTTATGACAGTATAAACAACGCACATGTAACTGAGAAATGTGATAAGTTCATTGAGTCTATCTCACACACTCATCTAATAACTGTTGAATGAGCACAAGGTCAGAGGTCAGAGGTCAGAGGGCCCTGCACCTCGCAGAGCACGCTGCTCACCGATGTTTCTGTGCTCTGTGTAAAGTGCAGGAAGAACACAGGACAGTGGCTTCCTGTGATGGACTTGTAATGAAGTGAGGACAGGGACAGATAGGCAGTTACAACACAGAGTGGAAAGACCCAAGCTGGAGTGGTGGGCACCCACCAGCCTGGGAGCTAGCTTCTCCCCACGGTGAAGCATCAAAGGAAGCTTCCTGGAAGAGCAGAAAGGATCCAACCAGGCTAAGAGGTGGTCAGAGGACAATCCAGGGTGAGGATGACACAAGTGTAAAAGAACAGAGGGAGGGGAGGTGGAGCATCCATAGGAAGCCATTCAAGACCATCTGAGTACACAGAATAAAGAAGAGAATGGTCAAAAAAGGAGGAGGAAGAGGGGGGAAAGGAAAGGAAAGGGTCATGGAGAAATAGAGTTGGCAGGAGAGGAGAGAGTGTAGCCACGGCCCAAATCAGTCTTGTTTCTCCCCCTTTCCATGGCCTAGCAACCAGGTGGCCCTGGGGTGTCTGTGTGTGTCCTTCTGCCAAAACAGATGACCACACTGTTCCTTAGGG